CAGTAGAAAATGTACAATTTCAGCTGAATAAATTAAAGGTGCCTATTTCATGCTGGCACAGATCACATAGTTAGAAACTGCTACGCAGCATTCACTGCCTGAAGTCAACAGTATTTGTGTCTTATAAGGCTGCTGCCTTTTTTACATCAGGAAACTTTTCTTTGTGTAGCCTGGAGGAGACCAGCCTGCTAACTGGTTTTGCTAGACAGTATTTAGATGCTTTCCTCTTTCGTATTATTTTTACATTAATCTCTTTGATGAGAGGAAAGCCGTATCCCGTCAGTAACACCAAGAGTAGGAAGTTGCTCTTATAGCTGAGGGGCTGGACCTGGGCAGAGCGTAGTACGGATCCGGTCTTTGGTTGGGTCTGACACGTTCACTTTAACTCAAACAAGGTTCCTTAGCCTGCAAGTTGTGGGTACAGCAGGGCTGAAGACAAGCAAATAAAATAAGTGCCCAAACTGTGGCTTCTCCTGCTCATTTCCCAGCTGCTTCGCTGCCTTTTTGTTGGCCTCCGTTGCTGTTACATGCAGAGCTCTGTGAGCGGCAAGAGCACGTGCTGAAGAATTGTTTTGGGGACCTTTCGTTTCTCAAATAATTCATCAGTATTTCTGTCTTTTGGGGGAGTGGGAAAGAAGGCATGGAAATAATCAGGTAATACTGCCCTTTTTTACTGAAAACAATAGCAAATATTTATGAAACTAAAGAAAAAGCCCCACAACACAACCACGTATTTACAAACCCCAAGGTTTGTTGTCTTTGTATAAAGTAAATTCTTAGGGTTGGCATAAACATCCACTGAAGATGAAGAAAGACCAGGTGTGGGACCATAACATATTTTGTAGTGGCACTGATGAAAGTGAATTTTTAATTCTTCATTTCATTATTCTTCTCCTTTCACTCAGCAGAGGGAACTGGCTTACAGATTGGGCATAAGCTTTTCGGGTGCGTGGAAGCTTTCTAGAAGGTGGCAGTGCTTTAAAGGCTGCAGCGTGTGAAGGGTAAAAGCCATTAATTTAGGCTGTCCTAAGTTGCTGGGTGCGCTGTTCTGGAGAAAATTGCTGTGGGAAGTTCGAAATAACACCAGGCACAGAGGCTCCGGGCCAGGGCCGGGGCCGGGGCTCCACAGGTCTCGCTCCCCAACCTGCTGCCTTTGCTGAACACATTTTATTGTTTCCTGGCTTGCAACAGTGTGGTAATATGAGGTTGAGGCTTTCAAAAAAGTCCCTAGTAGAAACAAGAAGTTTGTCGGTTTAAGCTGTAGGAAAAATGAGTTAATAAGAGGGGGGAAAAGACAGCTTTGTTGTTCTGTGAGGCGGGAGATGCTGTGCAAAAATACGTTGCGTAAGATTAGATGGTGAAGGTGTATGACCAAATGCAGTCTTCTGTGCCACCAAATGCTGTGCTTTGAGAAATCCATTACAGATATTTTGACGTAATTTAGTGGATTGAGAATGTTTTGCAATGTGGCTGCACCTCTAAAGCGAAGAAGCTGTTTTGTTTACAGAGGTGATGGGCGTGGGATGATCTCGGTGCTCTCTAGGCATTGCAAGAGCACCAGTTCAGAAGCTTGAATATATTAAAAATGTCATAGCCTTTTCCTCATGCTACTCGAGAGCTGTTTTAATATGTATGTATTTGCACGTACATGCAACTGTGTAAGTAACTAGCTGGTTTCCATACACCTTTAACTGGTTCTTGAATATGACATAACCATTACATCTTCACTCATTTAAAAATATGAATATTCTTTCTGGTTTTGTAAACAAGTCATATGTTTGTTCTGGGTTACTTTTATGAATAAAGTTTGGGTGAAAATAATCATTAACTGGAATGGTGGTTTGAATTTTACTTTTTTTTTCCTGTTATTTGGGGACCTTTTCAACCAGATCTTTTTCTTGTGGCATTCTGGAGATACTCTGTCTTAAACTTGATCTCTTTACATCTACAAAGGAAAGGGATTTTAATGCTTGAGATGGGGTAGTTTTTCCTGAATTAACACAGGTTTGCCAAAGTGTTCTTTTAAGGTAAAAAAAAAGGCACAAAAAAGCTATATAATGTTATGCTGCAAATGCATTTAGAACCTCCTCAGAAGAGTTACTCCAAGTAATTTGTTTGATAGCCAAGTTTTTGATCTCTCTGGAAACACAAATTATTTCTTTTTCTTTGTAGATTTTCATTATTGCGTGTGTGTCTTAAAACATCATTTTGTATGGAAAATGCCTTTTTATTTCTGTATAGTAATAAAATTAAAGTTGTGTAGCCTTTTATCAATAGAACAACTTACACATGTTAATCGACTTGTCTCTCGTGTAAGGGTTTGGCTGTTAAACATGTATTTAAAAAAAGAAAAATATTAGTTTTGGTGTCATGTACATTGATGGCCTAACTTTATTGTGACAAGAAGTCACTGATCTTTTGCTGTTGTTATTGTATTGCAGTATGCCAGGGTTTGGATCCCAGATCCAGAGGAGGTTTGGAAGTCAGCAGAACTTCTCAAAGATTATAAACCTGGAGATAAAGTCCTCCAGCTTCGACTTGAAGAGGGCAAGGTAGGTCTGCATATTGTTTGTAAGGTGATTGTTCTTGTTCTTGACCAGAGACTGATGTATCTAACGCGGGAAGCTCTATTGTCAAAATATATCCATAGTTATGTATGTGCAATTCTTGTCCACTGACTTCCAGTAGTGTTTTTTTGATGCGATAAGTTACACTGTTTCATTACAAAAAATTTTGCTTGATATATAAAATAAGTAAAATTATAAAAATTGTTGCTTTTATCCAACTGCCTGTTGTGCAGTTGGAGGGACTGAATGAGGAAACCTAAACACCAGCTCTTCACGTTTCCATTTGTTTTTCAGGACCTAGAATATTCCCTAGATCCGAAGACGAAGGAACTCCCACCTTTGCGAAACCCTGACATACTTGTTGGTGAAAATGACCTCACAGCACTCAGTTATCTCCATGAACCTGCCGTTTTGCACAACCTCAAAGTTCGATTTATAGACTCTAAACTAATCTATACCTATTGTGGCAAGTACTGTCTTTTCATACCCTAATCTTCACAGGAAATGCCCTAGGCAGGACAAGGAAAAGTTGATTATTGATATGTCTACCTTTAACTTAAAGTCATTTAAGGATAGGACATGCTGGGCTATTCCTAGGGAAGTTCCTGTGTTTGTGGTCCTGAAGGGCATCAAGTAGACTTGAAAGTATTAAGGCTCAGAGAAAATTAACTCTGCTGCGTGTTCCTCTAGCTTTCCAATGGTCTCTGTTTATAAAGTGTGTATTCAGCAGTTTTAGCTTGCCAGTGGGATTCCTGTCTCGTTGATGTGTCCCTCAGGCTTGCTTAGACAGACGTGGGCTGGAGGAGGACTCCACACAGTGCAGGTGCAGGAGGCTAGCCTTGCTGTTCAGTGCATTTATTGCCCAGCCATGATTGCACCTACCTCTGCATTCAGCTCCTCCGCCTATATATGGAAAATACCAGTTTATTTTCTTTTTCGTGTTTTCCAATCAGTGCAACTATAGGAGTGAATTTTTAACCATGCACAAGGCAGTTCTTGTCCCATCACAACTAGGAGTAGTCTTGGTTTTAAAAATACCGTGTAACTCACGGTAGACTTTACCTGAAGCTGCTATTGCCTGTGATATTTTCAGATAGCCAGAATTGGCGGGAAGTTACACTTTCATGATCGCTTCAGTGTAAATGCAAAGTTTCAGCTGGGATCTATTGTGAAGAAGCATTGTGAGACAGTTTAGGCTTAAAACTTAGGTTTCATGCTTCTAGGCTTTTTTCTCTGTGTGCATGTGTTTCTTTTAAATCTCAGTGCTTAGCCAAAATACATTGGTAACTTTAAATATAGGCTTTCAATATACATAAATATTGTAAATTTTTCAAACATTTCTCTAGTTTATCTGTACTTAGTTCATTATCCTAGTGCATAAGAAACAGTTGATTTGTGGATTTTTTAAGTTGAGTAAAACAAAATATAATATGATGGTGTGATTGCTAGAAACAAGATATTGGAAATTGTCTGATTAAGGCAAAGACAGTACATGCAGTCAGTTTATAATTTGCATATTCATTGTAGCCCAGTTTATGCCAGCGGAAAACATGCCCCATAGTTTGTTTTTTAGTATACAGTTTGGATTTGTCTCTAATCAGACCTTTGTAGGACAGTCCTTGGTATCACAGGCCAGAATATAGTGAGCTTCCTTGAGGTTACCATATTTTGTTAGACTTGCTGTTTCTAATAGCATTGCTCTTTGCGCTGTTTTGCAAACTCTAGAGTGGGGAAGACACGTTGCAAGGTGGCCTTTGACAGAGAGCAGCGAATCATGGCTGCAGGAACCTGAAGCAGGAATTTGTGTTTTACACAAAGCCAAAGGCCTTGTCCTGTCCTGGTCGCTGTTAGAGCTCCACCCGTGGTGGTGGGTATGGAGAGCTAAGGCAGCCGGCACAGTAAACAAGTTGTGATAGACAGACTGCTGGAATTAATGTTCTGCCACATTTTGCTCACTGTGGATGTTACTAGGCGGTGGATGCTCAGAGGAGCGCATCTGCTCCCAGCCGTGCTCTCAGCAGCGTCCAGACCAGGGGGACTGAATCAGGCTTTGCCACCCTCTGCTTGCAGCCACACTTCATTCCTGTAGGAGTGGGAGGTGATTCATACCCACATCCCGTCCCATCGTGCAGTCAGAGCATGACTAGAGGAAACAGAATAATTTAGGTTGGAGGAGACCTCTGGAAGTCTTCAGTGAAGCTCCATATTTAAAACTGGTCTGACGAGATCAGGTTGCTCAGGGCTTGGACCACTCACAATATCAGAGGATCTGGGTAACTCCAGCGATGGAGATAGCACAGCCTCTCTGGGCAGCTCCTGCTGAGGGGGTGTCTTTTGGTCCCAGCACGGGGAAACTACCTCAGTTGCCCCAGTTTAGACGCTGTCTGTCCTTCTGTCCTTCATGGCCCCTTGGCAAAGCTCTTGATGGGGAAACATTGTGTGAAAGGGCTTTTGTGCAACTGGATTCTCATGGCCTGAGCTTGTCAGGGGTTTTCAGTCTGGGTTTTGTGGTTCCATGCCTAGTGATACCCCCATGCCCCTCCCATAAGACAGCCTGCCTGGTTTCTGTTTCGGCTGCTTACAGACATGGTCTGTGTTTAACATCATTTGAGAGGCTTTCAAAAGGAATGTGCTGTCTGCTAGTTTTGTTTTGCTGTGTTTGGGAAAACACATTGTTTTCATGTTTTCCCTAGTGCAGCTTTAACTGTGGGTTTGGCTGGTTTTAGAGTTTCTCATGGGGCTGGAAGGCCCGTAGCTCTCCATGGATGGCTCTGCCAAAGGGCCTTGGTCAGGGGTTTTGCTTCTGAGCAAGACTCGAGTGATGGTTCTGGGAGCTACGTGTGGGTTTATTAGAAACTTGTGGATCCAGCAGTGCTGGGGTTCCTGGTGATCAGAGCGGAGGAGGTGTAACACTGCCTGGTGACCCGAGGAGTCCAGTAGTGCTGTGGATTTATTGGATTCGGGTGTAGGTTTATGTACATTATGTTACGAGCGAAGGAAAATAAAGTTGGCCTGTTGGCCTTTAAAAACCTGTTGCTTTGGCCGTGGGCATTCACCTTTCAAACTGCTCTGTCGGTTCCTGTTCTGAGTACAAGTTACTTCCCCTCTGCAATTGGTGTTTTATTGCCCCAGAGCTCTGCCAGCAGAAGGAACTGTATTTGCCTCTATAATCTGAGTCACACGTTAGGCGGGTTGATTTAACTACCCCATGAAGGTGGTTTGAGCCAACCCACCTGATTTAGCCCGAGGGAGATTAAACCCACTTTAATCTGCCGAGAGAATTATGATAACATTATTCTCAACCAGCAGAACTAGAACACGGGGTGGATGAATGTCCATGGCCCTAGAAACGAAGTCAACTCTCCTGTCTGAGTGTAATATGTCAAATGGATATTAAATTCTTTAAAATTTCACTTTGAAGTAATCCAGGCTTTTAAACAGAAAACTTCCTGATTTCTTAATTTCAAATCAGCCTTTCACCAGCAATTCAGAGGTGATTTATAACTTTGCTTTACTGTTGGGAATGTGAAGAGTTAATGAAGGACATTGAAAAGTTACAAAGGAAAATCTGAATGCTTACATGGAAAAACTGCTGTTACTGGGATGAAAACTTTGTGAATGCTGCTGGTTAGTTCAGATGTATGAAGTACTATCTGCTATGCAGGAGAGCAAACTTTAATTTAAATTAATAGATTATTTATGTTGATATCCAGTTTGTCCACAAATGAGTGAATATGTTCAAGATAAAGAATTAGACAGTTATTATTTTGGGTATATATAAGAAGAATGGCAAAAAGAGTAGCCAGAGTTTAATTTAGTGTAATTGTAGGAGTGAAAACACAGATCTGATCTGGAAAAGGCCATGATAATTCTTAAAACAGCAATATGATTTATTTGAGATAAAGAGAAGTTATGTGTAAATTAATCTGGATTATAGTCCTGCGAGACAGACTGATTTAAAAGTTCCATAGAAAGCATGTAATTCCTAACGCACTTGGTTTGGATATTTCCAGATGGTAGTTGTTTGTTGATTTTACAGATTGCTACTGAAGTTAAGTGATTTAATATGCTGGAGACTTGTCATGGGGTTGCTTGTTTTGAATTCAAGGGTTTATTTTTGCCAATGTAGCCAAAAGCAGGAGGGAATTTTCTGGAGCCTCTCACAGCTCTTTGTCAAATATCACTTTGATTAGACTTGCAAGCCTGGGAGGCTTGGCTTGGCAGCACGGCCTCACTTAACTTTTTACTACTTTTTCACGGTTACAAGGGGCAAATGTTAAAAACTGACAGCGAGAATATTCCTCGAGTCTGCTAGCAACAAGGCCTCTTTGCCTCCCTAACCTCCCTCTTATTTTTTGGCTCATCACTGCAGCGTTAGAACTTGGCATACAGTTTTATAGAGACTTTTTGCTTGAGCTCCTGAGTCATTTCAGTGAAGTCTTGGATAATGGAAAAACACTGACTCTGCTAACATGGGCGTGTCTGGATGTAAAACTTGCCATATATTGGAGAAAATAGATCCAGATCTTTCAGATCTCTTCATGAAAGACGTTCTGTTGTTGCTTAATGTTTTTGCTGTGGTTTGTGCCTGATCTGTAAATGCATAACAGAATTTTAAAAAGGGATGATGCTCCCAGCAGCAGTGCCAGACTGTAGATGCTTTCACTTCCCTTCTCCTGCCTTTTCCATGGAAAATTCCTTAGGCAGACATCCCGACACTGTGATCTGCGCAGAGCAGAGGCCTGGGATCTGCATTGAGGAAGTCTGTGTGTGTGTGTGAATTTCTGAGTAAATTTAGAAGCGAGCTGAGTGCTGTGGAAATGCTTCTGGTGCAGCTTCAGCAGGGATGGTTTGCCCAGGAAGCATGCTCTAGTCACCGTGCAGCCATCTGCACCTGCATTGTCACTTCTAGGCACAAAATACATATATGTATAAGTAATATAAGATATAAGTAGTTTTTGTCAAATTATCCCTCCGCGCACAGCAACCCTCATTTCTCGTGAAAGAGAAAATTGTACCAAAAAAAACATTTAAGGTCTCACTTTGTGGTGAGGAAGGTTGGACAGAGTAAGACTCCCTTGTGGGGAGAGGAACGGCATAACTTTAGAAATGCTATGCTAATAAGCAGCATTAAAAAAGGCACATATGTGTTTAACTGAGATGGAAAACCAAGAAAAAGGAAGGCATAAGTAGTTACACACAAAGATGTGTAAGGTGAGGGGTTTATGGTGCCTTCTAGAGTTATTACTCAATTTCCTGACATGAATAAGTACTGCTTTGTATCAGCCTCAAGAAATATGTCTACATGCATTTTTTTTTTTTGATCCCTTTGAGCCGGAGGTTGTCCTGCCTGACTGGCAGAGCTGTCTTGGAACCTGAATTATACCGTGATTCTACTTGGTTGCTTGTTACAAAAACGGAAGGTGTTATTCCTGGGCACAGCATAACAGCTGAAGGGTTAATACTTCACATATCCAAACTGACAGTCAGTGAGGCCATGTAGTACTTTTAATTCACAAATCACTTTATCATTTGTAATTCACAGCAAAACACAGGGAAGTACAATGCACATTCATTGGTTTACTGCACTGAGCAGGCACTATTTCTCTGAGTCTGGTTGTTCCATGCATGCCTTTTCTAGGCAGACAGAGGGAAAAAAAGTAAATTGTCACTGATGTGTTTCCTAAAGCAGGGTGGAAGTAAACTCTTCTCATACTTTCTGTATGCAAAACTGTGGTGAGAATAAATGTCTGCTGAAGCCAGCAATATCCTATCCCTGTTCTTCTCTAGTTAATATTTACAGAAAGGTTAGAACGATAGCTGGCGTTAAAGCCATTTTTTGGTTTGTTTTATTTTGAAATGACTATTAATAATTCCTTTTGTTTCATTTCCTTTGTAGGTATCGTCTTAGTGGCCATAAACCCTTATGAACAACTGCCTATCTATGGCGAGGATATCATCAATGCATACAGTGGCCAAAATATGGGAGATATGGATCCACATATCTTTGCGGTGGCTGAAGAAGCATATAAGCAGATGGCCAGGTTTGTAGACCACGAGTCTTGAAGTCATTCTTTTTCTGAAAAGAATAAGGTTTATAATTTCTGGCTGATGGCCTTCTCTTTAATTTATAGCTCATGAAATATTTTGCAAGATCTGCCTTTTATCCAATGTTTTAGTACATTTCGCAAGAGGATAAATTGCTGGAGTCAGAGAACATAAGGCACTATGAATGCCATGGAGATCATGGCCACTGACAGCTAACAGGAATAACCACAGCTCTTGTCAATATTTAGGTCTAAAATTAGCCCAGTGTTTTATATGATTATGTTGTTTTAATTTGATTAGCAAAATGTGGGATTTTTTTTAATCATCAGTGGATTTTTAAAGAGGAAGGTGCCAGATTCTTAACTGTTCCATATTTATATGTGGTACTGACAAGAGAAAAAAAAAAATCACTCAGCTTATCAGTGCTATTATAGGCTCCCAGTCGTGTTGGTAAAGTCCTGGCTGTGTAATCTGCCTGTGGCTGTTGTTGACTGGAATTAAGACAGAGCAGAGGGACGATTGCACAGAGTGCCTGAAAACAGTGTCTCTAAGGACACTGTAACAGCTGTGCAGGAAATCCTCATTTCTTTAAATGTTGCACTAAAATAAACTTGTCACCCAAGGGGAGTGGTTATTAGAAACTTCTTCCCCCTCGTCCCAAGAGCATGCCAATTTGAGGTGCTTTAGAAATATTTTATTTCTAGGATATCTTGTGGGCTATGGTGTGGTCTTTGCTTAGCAAAGATGGTCCCTGGTATCCTCACTGGTTAGCTGCAAGGTCTTGATACAGTTTTCCTTGTTGACAATACAGCCCATGATCAAATTAATCAAGTAAAACAGTGGCAGACCTCTAGATTAATTCTGATGGTCCTCAAGCCATACTGCAGGAGGGCAAGGCAAGGGGAGAGTGGGTTAGAGGTGATGAAATGTTCATCTCTGAAATTAGAATCGTAGAACCACAGAATGGCTTAGGTTGGAAGGGACCTTGGTGATCACCTAATCCAACCTCCCTGTCATGGGCAGGGACACCTCTCAACTAGACCAGGTTGCTCAAGGCCTCATCCAACCTGGCCTTGAACATCTCCAGGGAGGGGGCAGCCACTGCCTTTCTGGACAGTTTATTCCAAAGTCTTGCACCCTCATACTGAAGAATTTTTTCCTAAGATCCAATCTAAACCTATTCTCCTTCAATTTAAATCCATTTCCCCTTGTCCTAGCTGTTCGTTTAAGAATCCATATGAATTGAATAAAATGCTCTGTATACTGTGAAGTTAGTCAGCTTCATATGTGAATATGGTGATTCACGATAACCACGTAATAGATAATTTCAAAAGAAAGTGGTACAATACAATGCGGCATTTCATGACTTAGGGTAATTGCGAAATAGCCGGTGTTTCAAAAATACCCTACATGTGCACTGTTGAATGGCAGAGGTATTCACCTTGCTGCCTTTCTGCTAAGAAAATAGACATCTAATTTGGTATGGGAATATAAAGTCAGAACTGTGTGTTATGGCAGTCACATCTGCGTTGTGGCTCTTTTGGGCGAGATCACTGCTGTTTTACAGATCTGCATCACTGTTGTTTTGAACAGACTTGCCACTCAAGTCCCTCTAAAAGCTCTACTAAATAAGAATTTATTAGCCTTCTTTTACATCTGAGACACAGTACAGTGACCTGCAATTATATGTCAGTGATGGATGTGATCCAAATTCCTAGAATTTTTGTTCTTAATATTAACCAGTGGAAGTAAGAGGTTGGGGGGGGATCTCTCTCCACTGGCTGCCTCTAACTGCTGTGTGAAGCAGGCTTCCCTCTGACCTGTCGTGAAACTTCAAATTGCTGGATCACCTGTGTTCTGTGTGCTTGTTAGCTGAAGCCTGTGCCATGGAGATTTCGATCTTCCACCAGCTGTATTCCCTGCTGTCAAGGGAAGATTCAGGGCTGAGATTTGGCTGGAGTTTCTGCCGTGGTTTTCCCTTTTTCTGTTAATTGCCAGCTCTGCATCTCTCACTGTGCCCTCCAGCAATTCTGCTGTCCTGAAAAAGAACAGATAAGATGTGGTAGAAGTTCCTTTTTTGAAGCAAATTATGAGAAATTACATAAGCATAGAAATGATACTAAATTATCATTTTGCATTAATGAATTAATTCCTGTGTGTGTCTATGACATGCTGTAAATAATTAGTTATTCTTTTATGACTGACAGTATTTCCATAGGTGCAAAATGAAATCTGAGCACCCAATGAAAATGAAAAAAATTCATCTACACTGAAGTAACAATTTCACTGTTTGTTTAGTTTCCCAATGTTTATTTCCTTTACTCGCTTTTTTTTTTTTGCTTTGTTTGTTTTTAAGAACTTTTTCTGTTGCTTTGGATTTGGACAAACTGTGTTTACTGATTGAATTTTGTTTTCTATTGCTGTTTCCAATTCCTTAATCAGTTGTCCTGCCCTTTAACTTCAGTGATACTTCTACACTCTGAGCAAAACACCTTTTACTCCTGAATTACAAAGTTAAAGAAAAAAATGTGCAGATTTACATTTCTGCAGCTGGTTATTTAAAAATGAAAACCAGATTATGACTATTTCATTAATGCTTTAATAATTACGTTGAATATTCATATGGTAGCTACTCATTACAGCATTCATCTGCATTTATGCATGTCATTGGTGAGATACGGTTTTCTGTTGTTTCTAATCTTTTGCAATTCCATCTTTAAATGATCACTGGAATGATTGGTCATGATGCTCCTATCCGTAAGGCTTCAGTGAACTCTTCTAAATATTTACTCGTTAGAGCTTCCTGTTAATTTATAATTTAACGATTTAGAATTTGTTCTTGCTAGCTTTGCTATTTGACCTGCTGTGGCTGAGAAACTCCTTCCATGTGTGTAGTTGTAACCAAATGATTTCTGTGGTCTTCAGCCAAGGAAAATGCCCCATGACAGCGATCAGGAAAGCTGGTGATTGTACACTAAATATTTGCATTGCATCTTCAGCAAAAATACATTGTAAAAATGTTGGCTGCTGGAATGACAGGGGTGGAGCTCACGTCTGGCCTGTGCAGGAAGGGTGGCATTCAGCAACTGCTTGGAGTTAATTGCGGCGTAAAACAGCACACAGAGACACCTTCGCGTGGGAAGTCTGCTGCAGAGAGCGCCCAGTGGCGTGGTGGGCGCGGGCTGTGGCGTGCCCCTTTGGGCATCCCTTGTTTCCTCGTTCCGCAGCAGTTCTGTCACCACTGTCCGCTGGAGGGTTAGTGAAAAGAAATGTGGCTCGTCTTTGCCCATAGCTGACAATCAAATAGGTGATTATCGTTTGCTTAGTCGCTCCTTGTCTTTTTCAGCAGCTGAAAATGTCCACAGGTCTTTTAAGACTTCTCCCATTTTGGATTATTACTTACTTTGTTGTGATTTTTTTTTTTTCCCCTTTACCCCCCACCCTTCCACTCTCTCCTCCTGCTCCCCACTTTTCCTCTGTATCTTTGTGCCTTTTTCCTTTTCTCTCTTCATCTCCTACCGCTCTGCTGCACACGCGGACAGCTTTGTTTCCAACACCTTTCCTCTGCTGTGCCCAAAATAAGCAATGAACTAGTTCTACAACTGCGTTTAATGTGTGCTAGACCTAGGGTTACGTACACCTCGTACTTACCGGTAACTTTATTGGTGTGGGTTGTATGATCCTCTGGGTGTGACGGCTCCAGGGCAGATCCTTCCCTCTGTCCGAGCAGGGGGAGATCCACCCGTGAGCACATCCCAGAGGGAGGGGGCAGGACCTGTCACGGGGTCCCAGCTGCCGCAGGGCTTTTGTGCAGAGTGGGCTGGGGCTGCCGTGGTTCTGCAGGAACAAGCTGTGCCTTTGGGAAGAGCTGTGACCTGCACTCGGAGATCTCCCTCTTCTCGCGGGTAGGCAATGTATTGCTCAGGGATAGCTTGCTTCGTTTGAGCAACCGTATGCAGGTTTGGGACAATGTTTACGGCAGATGAGCATTTTAAAAGGAAGTAAATTATTATTATTAAATTATTATTTTTGTCTAAGAAATATGAACCACAGTGTCAACACGTGGGTGCTTGCATGTCTTGAACCCTCTGAACTGCAATACATACCATTTTTGGAAGTCAGCATTTCCAAATTATTAGCAAAAAATAAGTTGAATCTTCACAGTCGCCTCTCTGTGGTAACTGTGAAAATTGAGGTAAAACATTAGTTGGCAAGTGTTTGATTTTTTTTTTTTTTTTAAGGCATTACAACAAAAAGGAATCATAACTATCAGCAGGTGCAGCTCATTTTCTTAGTAATATTCGGTAGAAGCCTGCATTTTTAACTGTATAGTTTGCAATAAGAGGAGATGTTGATGATTATACTCTTGAAACTGATTGAGAGTTGTGTTAACGTACGAGACTTATGATTATCAGTTTCCTAACACTATTAGGGAAAGGAGTTCTAAATCACTCTTACACAGATTCTCTTCCCCTGCCTTGTAAGGGTATATTTCAGTAATTAAGATAATTTTTTTTTTTATTATCAGCACTTGCCGGTCTAGTTTGTTCCATACTACTTGTGGTTCATGACAGATACAGCAGAGTTCAGTGCTTTTCAGTTTAATAAATTAACTTGGAGATTTACTTCTGATTAATTAGTAAAGTTGCCTTGCAAAGTGAAAGCTGAAAGTAACATTTGCAAACAGAATTACATGCTGATGAGATCCCTATAAAACTCAGTGAATACAAAGATGAAAAGCAACAGTGTTTAAGTACATCAGTTTCCACAGTTTCTCTTTTTCTGTTTGGACAAAGTATAATGATTTATTTGATGTCAGTGTGTATCTTTTTCATTAAATTACCTCTAATAAGCAGGCTGCCTCTCTGTTTTGTCAGATTTTCCGATGTGTCTGATGGCTCTGAGGTACAGGAAGATTTTTTTCAGTTGCTTTTTGCTCAGAAGGAAGCTGGGTGAGCTGTTGAGTAGGTATTTTGAAAGCACCTTGACTGACAAT